CCTTTTTTATATTGTACGTAGTTTAACGCACGCCTATTATGTAAAAAAAAAAAAATAGATACATAATTTTTCAATAATTAATTAATTTACGATAAGTGATAGAATATATTTACATTTCGGAAGTAGCTTCTCGATCTAGACGAGAGAGGAGAATCAGTAATAAATTTGGAATTTTTAAATCATATAAATGAAAAGTCAGGAGATAATAAATATGAGGAATGGAAATTAAAATCTNGGTTCCAGAACCAGCCTGTTGAGTTGTGAAACAAATATCAATTCCTCCTTAGGCATTTCTTGATCAGTACGATCTACAGACGGATGACCTTCAGAAGTCACCGATTATTGTCCATTAATAGTGACGTTTCTTCGTCTTCAACAGTTCATGGTTCCTATTCTTCACTAGTGGATACCTCTTCTTGTTTGGCAGAAGTTTCCTCTTCCTCAGTAGTACCCTCGGGTCCTTGATTGTCGAAAATATATTTATTTACTAAAGACTACAGTAAAATTAGCTATTGCTGTGCTAAGAGGGTTAGCAAATGGGGTATGCTCAACCAGCATGGAACTAGTTGATGTGTTTAAATATCCAGCCAACAAAGCGAGGGTATGACTTTTGGAGAAGTACCAAGGTTTAATTCGTTGGGCTATAGTTGGATCGTGCGAATAAGAGCTCGTATCCAAACACCAAGTTTATACGCAGGATTATCAAGTCGACTTTAAACAGCTGCGTTGTTGATGGTTCTGTCGTAGGTTCGACTTTAGCTTCTGGTAATTTCTACTTTCAATTATCCTTCAATACTGGTGGTTCTAGTTTAAGAAGGGATTTAAATCGTGCTTCATACTTCGGCTGTGGAGGTAATACGGTTTCCTTCTACGTCGGGGACGATGAACTTTCGACAAACACCATTTTTCCAATAGTTTCAGTAACAGACCCAACTGTGGTCGCAAGAGAGAATGCTACTGTCAAAAATCAACAAGTATATCTTTTCGACGGTAGATGTCCTCAAGGTTATCAGCTGGCTACTGCACTGTTTTCGATATTGGATCCCGGTGGCAGGCAAAAGTTATATTTCAGAAGGCAAATTTCAATAAGGAATTTGTATGTAGTTTCGAGAGATTCACGAAGGAATTAAGGATATGAATCACGGCAGATGGCGAAACGCAGTCAAATTCTACTTTTGGGGGTTATAGTTTTCAACAACAACCTTCACTTTGAAAGGCTGCAAATTGATATGAGGTAAAAATTCAAGAGTAGATCTGAATTTTTTTGAGGTTCATGTAAGCGTTTCTGAAGGAATTTATTGATATAAACAGTTTCCATTTACGACTTGATAGATTTTATCTCCATACTTTATAGAATAGCACTACTGAAAAGGAGCCAGATGTATATTTTTTCTCCGATTCCATTCTCTATTTTTTGAAGGTTTCTACAATATAGTTGGTACCATGATTTTGGTATTTCTAACTATTGTTTCATTCGTCTTAAGTTGAAGGCATTTTTTCAAATTCTTAAGACTAACTTTCCAAGGAACTTAAAAGAATTTTAATGATCTTCACTTCAGATCTGACTCAGAATTAAGATTATCAATTAGACTAAGCAAAGTAACTGACATCAAAACTATAAAAAAATATCGATTAGACTAAACACAATAATCGACGTACAAACCATATATAAATATCGATTAGATTGAACAAAATAACTAACATAGAAACTATATAAAAAACAATCTTTTCTTCGAATCACAATTTTAAACTATAACATAAAAGCAACAAATATTTCAATAAAAATGACCAACGCAGCTGACAAAGTAAAGGATGAAGCAGATCCAAGGAAGGTCTCTGGGACAATTGGAACCAGAGTGGAGCCTGTAGTCCATTGAGTAGGTTCACTGTAACGACTTGTGACACGAGTAGTAGCTGATTCATCTGCGCCAGTTGGACTAACCTTTGTCGTGGAGATTACAGTCGAGGATAAGCTGCTTGCACTACCACTGGAAGCGATTCCTGAACTTTCTTTCCCTCTGGTCTTTGTCGAGGTACCGAGTGGGATGGGGCTAGTAGGATAGGTTAATGCACCTGAACTCTCGCAGTCCTCAACTGTTATAGTTGTTGCTTCTGACACTATCAATGTAGTTGTGCTACCATCGATGATTGTGGTGGTGATGTATTGGGTGGACCGGGTTGAATCTTCAATCGTTGATGACTCCTCGCAAACTGTGTTAGATGACTCTTCATCATGACCTTTCAGAGTTGATGATTCTTCAATTGGATGGGCAGTTGATTCCTCAATGTCAGAAGCTGTCCTAAATGTACTATTCAATTCTTCAGTACTTATGGTATAGTGCTCAGTAGTTGATAACATTTCAGGCTCCATACTCGTCGACTCTTCACTCTCTGATGCAGATTCGTCTTCAATACACGTAGTAGTGGTCTCTTCCGTATCGGATGTACCGGATGGTTCATCATCTCCTGTGGTGGATGAATCGTCATTGGATGTACTGGATGATTGATCATCTCCTGTGGTGGATGAATCGTCATTGGATGTACTGGATGATTGATCGTCTCCTGTGGTGGATGAATCGTCATTGGATGTACTGGATGATTGATCGTCTCCTGTGGTGGATGAATCGTCATTGGGTGTACTGGATGATTCATCGTTTCCTGTGGTGGATGCCATAGAAATAAATACAATCTCAGTTGCGGTTTGACCAATAGAGGCAGTAATAGTACTTGTACCATCAGGACAATCACATGTGGTAGTAGTGGTGACGGTTGGGATTGGAACATTCACCTCAATGGTGATGGTTCCTGAACTTGTGGTATAAGGTAATGTTGTCACATGGGTTGTCAGTCCAGTCCAGGTTTGAGTAGTGACAATAACTTCTTGACCATTAGCACCAGGGGAATCATTTTGATATTCGCCCCATGTGACTGTTTTCAGGTTGTCGGTGGTACGGCTGTTACCTACACATTGATATTGATTGATGTATTTGACTTGATTCAGCACACCTGTATCTACTTTCATAAATACATCAGCAAAAGGTCTGAACCCTCTTGAGATGCTTCTAAAGGTAACCTTTAATTCACGGCTGTTGCAAGCCACTGTGGGATGAACTTCAGTTGCTGATTCAGGAGAGTACCACTCGTTTAACTTGTCAGTAATAAGTGCATGCATGGAATCACAATCAATGCTAACCCCAGATTTCGAGACCGAAAACCCAATGGTTGCTCTTTGATATCCATTTGCACAATTTCCAGCCAAAATATAATGTTGTTCTCTATTTAAACTGGGGATGATTCTATTCTCTCGAATAATAACATCTGGATTTGTTCGTGCACCACCAACAAATTTGACATCTATGGAAAGCTCATCGTCACCATCGTAAAAGGAGATAGTATTAGTTCCATCATGGAAAATTGGAGCACATTTTAAGTCAGTTGTTAATCCCGAACCACCGGAATTAAATGTGAAGGGGAAATAGACAGTACCATATGCATACGTTGAAGGACCGACAGAGTCTGAAGCCACACATTTCAATTCTGAATAGTCAACGACAACATCACCAGGGGCAAAGGAACAAGTAGCGTATGTTTTTCCACTAACATGCAAATTGACTTCCGAAGCACTGGTTGTGAATTTAAAAACACAGGGCATGTGCAAGGTAAAGGTGTCCCCTTTGTTAACTTTAGAACCGTCAATAACCCAGGTTAAATCAGCGATCCAGTTTGGATAAGAAGGAGCTTGAAATTGGTAATTACCAGCGCTTTCCCATTTCAAGGAATTGAATTTGGTGAAAACCCCAGTAACTTCTTTAGAAATTACCAAGGAAAATAAGCAAAGTAAGACAAAACTTGTCGAAAACATTGTTGGATACTTGATATGGTGAACCTACATTCTTGATCAAGAACTTTTGTGGGAATCACCTCCTCTTTATATATTAGTGAATAGAGAGGATTTCCTTTCGTATAGTGTAGGTGTGTGGCAGGAGCTGTATGTGACTATACCAATGTGCAGTACAAGAACGAATAGAATATGCTTTTTGAAAGACCATACAAAACCTAAAAAAAAAAAATTGCCGCAAATTACGCCGCTATAACTCTGAAAATTAAGTTTGCAGCAACTTTGTGTATCTTTAAGTAAACACATATTGGCCTCAGTTGGTCTAAATCTCTAAGAGGCTCCAAAATGTTCAAGCAAAAATATAAACTAAGAAAAACAACGGGTTTTTTTGAAATCGAAAAAATATTTTATGTTTTGATGTTCGTATAGTCAAGTCATTTTTATTATGTCAAAAAATCAAGAGTGGAGACCACCGTTATCCCACGAAACAGCCGGTAGGGGCTAGGAAGGACCTAGACCCGGGCACGACAACCAAGTGCGTTGCTCCAATAGAGCGTTAGAGGGTTTTCTTTATAACTTGTATATGAAGTGTGTATAGGTCAATAAAGGGGTGTACCTAATAACCTAAAATACCCAATAACCCCAAATCACTAAAAAAATATTCTTTTGTTTGTAGTTTAACAATAAAACCACATTATTTTTATAAAAGAGAGATGTTTTGCTTTGTTTCGGATAGATTTTTCCGCAACTTTTGGGTTATTGGGTATTTTAGGTTATTGGATATTTTAGGTTATTAGGGTACACCCCTTTATAAGGTTTTAACCGTGTTTGTAAAAAAAAAAAAAAAAAAAAAAGAGTGTTGGCAACACGGCAACACCGCGGTGGTGGTGATTCCCTGCTCGAATAGGCTCTGGCTGAAAATATGCGTTAGCCACTTTCTTTAAAGGAATCTAGATGAGCGTCATATGTTGCCCTTTTTTTGGAAAGCCGAAGTGACGGTTTTCTTTTTAGCGTGTATATGAATATTCGTATAAACTTTATTCATTTTGTGTAGTACAAATGGTGGCTTTTACTAATGACCACATTTACAAAAACCATAAAGGATGAAAGATCACTTGATGATATCCACAGACTGGTGAAGTAAAAGATTAACTTTAAGAGATAAAAATGCCAACGAGCTTCTCCCCAAAAGATTTGTTTGGTTCTAACAAACATAAAAAGGTTTTATAAAAAATTTGTGGTTCTGAACGGTTTGAAATGATATATGGAGTGAATTAAACGGTTATTTCAAATAACGATCTGATTTGCTATCAGGGTCCATCAAGAATGTTAAATGAAGAGATTCGATACCAGATCCGAATTCTAGAAATACGACATGTGTGATTGAAAGCTTATTGGGACAAGAAAATTCTCTTAATTTCCGAAATTCCCCGAGACCCCGTTTAAAAACAAAAAAATAATAAATTGTCATCTACTAGCCGAAATAAAGTTTCGTCTATTATGTAAGGAAAAAAAAAAGATTTCAGATGCACGCGAAATATGGCACTTAGGAAACGCTTTTTATTTTATTGTTTTTACAGAACATCCTATAATTAAAATATAAAAATCATTAGTGAGCAAGAATAGAAATATTCAAACAAGTAACGTAGCAGTAGTTAATCGAACAGTAGTTAAGTGATATAATGAAATGAACACAACCACAGACAAGTAGCTACAAAAGATATTTGGAGTTGGGGTAAAAAAGAGGGCTCCATTCAGTTCACAGAAAATAAATTAGGTATCACGACCGTCAAGGGTCAATTCCATGAGGGATAAAGCTAAGTTTATGGTATGGGTGATCGAATGCCGTAAGATTTGACGAGTAATTCAAAGGCGGTGGAATATTAATCCAATAATCGCAGAATGGGCTGAGTCCAACAAGGGCGTTTTCCATTAAGGTTCTTCATATTATGAGTAGTGGTTTCCACTTTTTATAACCTGAAATTAATACGTTCATGGATTTTTAAAGTAAATAAGAAGAAAAGTGTAAATGCCAAGTCCAGAAATAGCAAAACGTTTATTATGATTAAAATTTTTCTGGGCATGTCAATCTGTTTTCTGTACAATTTAACCCTTTTTATACTGTATGCAGTTTAACAAACACCTTAATATATAAAAGAAACTACATTAAGGTTATGTGGATTTATTCCTGTGAACATTTTGGTCAAGAAATCAAGCTTTATTTTAAAGTAGTTTCATTGTATGGACAATAAGAACAGACTCCATGGCTTGAAAGAAATGGCATGATGTTGAATCTTAAAATGGAGCTTAGCCAAATTAATCAAGTGTCCTACATAACTCCCGTAAAGGCATCATCGGCCCACGACAGAAGCCAAGATTTATAAGATTATTGGCAATCCGCGGATAGCCAAAGCAAGGGAGACCCAGCAAATTAACACCAGCAAATGCAACACCCAAAAGAATTAATCGCCAAAGCTCGAAAGACCCATAAACCTAAAATGCTCTCCTGGACTATGGTTCCCACCTAGAGAAGGTTCCCTATTTTTTTTTAATCTAGGATAATTTCCGAAATGACCCTAAAAGGGTGTATCTCAAGTCCATTTTCCTTATAGTTGCGTGTATTGAGGATAGGGGATTCAGAGTGCGACGTGATCAAGTACAACGATGCTATTGGTGTCAACGGTTCAGAGCGACAACGAAATCCCTCAATTTCCGAGGGCCGTCATGTTTAATTTTGGTGCAAAGAAAAGCTGAATGCAAATAAATTTCTTGTTAAAAGACGAAATATGTGAAGAGCAATACCGAGACCATTTTGAAGCTTGTGTTACTATGTCTAGGGATAATTTCATCCATTTTTTATATAATCTAGCTACCAAAAGATTCAATAGTAGAACAATCCAACCTACAATAAGATATAGCCCAAAAAGATTTCACCATAAAGGAGATAGTAGGATCCATACAAACATTAGATAGTGTTCAAAGTATCTACGGATATGTTAAGGGTGAATGTTTTATGGTTGTGAGTGCCAGGTCTTTTAAAAGGTGGGAGCCTGTCGTATATAGTCACCACATTAATTTTAATTATGTTGCTTCCGAGATTATTAAGACATCCCCGAAAACGACAAAGGATGAAAGATCACTTGATCATGTCCATAGACTGGTGAAATTGAAGGATTAAGGTTAAGTTACAGAGAACTTAAAATCTTCTCCATAAAAGGATTCTTTGGTGTTATATAATAGGGTTGTCTCAATTTTCTATAAATTTTGTAGTTCTCACAAAATATAAAAATATATGAAGTCAATTAAACGGTTAATTCAAATTCCGATCTGATTATCAGGGTCCGCCAAGAGTGTAATTGGAAAGATTCGGTAGTTGTAGCCATTACGCCCAATAAGACTTGCTACCATTAAGTGAAGAGGTGGGTAGCAACGCCGCGCCAGAAGGTCGCAGACATGATGATATGTTCACAGGATACAAATGGGAATAACCCTATATGAGAAACCTGTACAAGTTTTCCCACTTCTCTGTTATATTGCTAGACTACTGTATAGCTATAGTAGGGTGAACCTTGTTTTAGTAATGTGATTTACTGGTAACGACTTCCCTTCCTCGTACATTATTTTGTATCCTTTGGAGTGGTGTTAGTCGTTAATATAATTGACATCCAGTTTTATGTAGAACTGTTGCACCGTAATTTTGAATGACTCTCAGGTATGATCCAAGAAATTTATTCGGTCGGTTGTTTCAAATCCAGTTAAACATCCTTTGGAATGTTCCCAGAGTCCTTTGGAATGGTCTGAGTGTAGTCGAATTTTTTTTAAGCGACCTGTAGTTTATGTCTTGAACGTCGAAATATTCGGAATGACTCATGAACCAATATGATTTGAATAGATTCTGGCTCTGAATATTGTGTGTGTTGTGAAATATGAACATTTCCAGAAACCGAAACATGGTCGTAAGACTTTTCTATTGTTTATTAGTTTCTACTGGTATTGCAAGCGCTATATCAATTGAGCAGCTCTAGAAGGTATTCATAATCTTTTGCCCTATCTTCGTCAAGATAATTCCAACATACTTTGGACTAAAGTAATGGTTAATCCGTCTGTTCTGTTTGGTCTTGAAGCGACTAGTTTTGATTGTCTCACTGTAGCTGTACATACCATTCGTAAGAGCGGAAACTAAAGTTTACACTTGAAGCGAGCGGCAGGCAATGTGATAATTCGCTTGTCCAGTTTTAGCGAACTAAATTAAGTTCGTCAATTGTCTAAAATGAGGTTTTTACACAAAAAATAAACTATGCCAGGTTTTATTTTTTATTCTTTTTTTTCCTCTGCATAGTTATTTTAAGGGTTCATCTTCTTGAGAAACCAGAACATTGAGCCACAAACCGTTGTTGTTGAACGAAAAGTAATCCATTGGCTTATCTCTGAGAAAGTTGGGTAACACTCTCAAAATAGAAATAGTCAATAAATCTAACGGAAGAAAAATGGATAACACCCATAAATATACATATAGTAGTGACAATAACTAATACAATTAATTACTAAGGGTTATAATATCATTCCAGATATATCACTTAGATTACTTATCCATATTTCCTCCTATCTCATACGTCTTAACAGATTTCAGTTAGCCTAATTTAACGTTCGAAGAATTACTTTCATTTGTCAAAATTCCCTCATTAACTTTATGCTTTCCGTTAAACCTTACAGATCTCATTGGGTAGTAAAGCACGTTCCCAATCCAAAAGAAGACTGCTTCCAAGGAAATTTCGCAACTGGTACGGGTACCCAGATTCTACTCCCCTGTTATTAACGTATAAATAACCCGGGAATTAAATTTTCTCTTTGCGATTTCAAGGTTTATGTTGGTGTTTCCAGAGAAATTTATTGATATATGCAGTTTCCGCTTACGACTTGATATTCTTTATTTCTATTCTTTATAAACTTCCCCTGCTGAATAAGAGCCAAATTCTTATCTTTTCCCGATTCCATTCTCTAATTCTTCAAAATTTCTTTCTACTATAAAGTCGCTACTATTATCTTCGTAAAATTATTCCGCCCTAATATGAAAATCGTTTAATGGCTTTGAGATGAATGCTTGTTTTCGAATTTACATCTTTTTTTCAAGGAACTTTAAAGATCTTCACTACAGATCTGATTCAGATATAATATTTATCGATTAGACTAAACAACATAATAACATAGAAACTATATAAAAACAATCTTTTGTTAAAATCACAATTTTAAACTATAAAATAAAAGCAGCAAGTATTTCAATAAAAATGACCAAGGTAGCAGACAAACTAAAAGAAGAAGCAGACCCAAGGATGGTTTCTGGGACACTTGGAAGTGGTGTGGAACCTGTAGTCCATTGAGTAGGCTCATTGTAAGGACTTGTAACACTAGCTGTTTGTCTAGTAGTAACTGAGTAGTCTTCATCAGTANTTTGTTTCGGAGATGGAAGTTGTGTCGAAAGTGCCTGCACTACCACTTGAAGCAATTCCTGAATTTTCTTCATCATCTACTGTTTTAGTTGTTGCTTCTGATACTGTCAATGTAGTTGTACTACCATCGATGATTGTGGTGGTAATGTATCGGGTGGAAAGGGTTGAAGCTTCAAACGTTGATGATTCTTCATGAGCTGGAGCTGATGGTTCTTGGGCAGCAGATGATTCACTAATATTAGTTGACAATGTTGTAGTAGATGACTCTCCATCATGACCAGTAAGAGTAGATGACTCTTCAATTGGATGAGTAGTTGATTCTGATAATGCAGATACTTCGGTTGTTTCAGGCGTGGATGGTTCTTCATTCGATGATGTAGTCAAAGACTCAATAGCGGAGGTAGTCACTTCCAAATTTGAAGAAGTTTCAATTGTTGGTGAATTAGAGAATGCTGAAGACGACTCTTCCACAGTAGCACTAGCTGATTCCTCAATGTCAGAAGATGTCTCAAATTTGGTACTTGGATCTTCAGTACTTATGTTATAGTCGGAAATAGATAATGATGATGCCTCGGGATCCAAACTTGTTAGTTCTTCAATCTCTGATGTAGATTCTTCTTCAATATGTGTAGAAGTGAAACTTTCTATGTTGGATGATGTTTCATATGGTGTCTCGGATGTACTCACTTCTTCCTCGGATGTTGTAGTTGATTCCTCTTCTTCTGTACTGGATGCATCTTCATTGGATGTTGCGGATGATTCCTCTGGTTCGGTACTGGAAGCTTCTTCATTGGATGTTGTGGAGGATTCTTGATCTTCTGTACTGGAAGCATCTTCATTGGATGTTGTGGATGATTCCTCTGGTTCTGTACTGGAAGTTTCTTCGTCGGATGTTGTGGATGATTCCTCTGGCTCTGTACTTGATGTTTCTTCATTGGATGTTGTGGAGGATTCTTGATCTTCTGTACTGGAAGCATCTTCATTGGATGTTGTGGATGATTCCTCTGGTTCTGTACTGGAAGCTTCTTCGTCCGATGTTGTTGATGATTCCTCTGGTTCTGTACTGGAAGTTTCTTCGTCGGATGTTGTGGATGATTCCTCTGGCTCTGTACTTGATGTTTCTTCATTGGATGTTGTGGAGGATTCTTGATCTTCTGTACTGGAAGCATCTTCATTGGATGTTGTGGATGATTCCTCTGGTTCTGTACTGGAAGTTTCTTCGTCGGATGTTGTGGATGATTCCTCTGGCTCTGTACTTGATGTTTCTTCATTGGATGTTGTGGAGGATTCTTGATCTTCTGTACTGGAAGCATCTTCATTGGATGTTGTGGATGATTCCTCTGGTTCTGTACTGGAAGCTTCTTCGTCCGATGTTGTTGATGATTCCTCTGGTTCTGTACTGGAAGTTTCTTCGTCGGATGTTGTGGATGATTCCTCTGGCTCTGTACTTGATGTTTCTTCATTGGATGTTGTGGAGGATTCTTGATCTTCTGTACTGGAAGCATCTTCATTGGATGTTGTGGATGATTCTTCTGGTTCTGTACTGGAAGCTTCTTCGTCCGATGTTGTGGATGATTCTTCTGGTTCTGCGCTTGAAGTTTCTTCGTCGGATGTTGTGGATGATTCCTCTGGTTCTGTACTGGAAGCTTCTTCGTCCGATGTTGTGGATGATTCCTCTGGTTCTGTGCTTGTTTCTTCAGGAATATATTCAATAACGGTTGCAGTATCACCAGGAGTGGCAGTAAATGTACTTGTAGCATGAGGGCAGTGACACGTGGTAGAAGTAGTGACTGTTGGTACTGGAACATCAACCTCAATGGTGATGGTTCCGGTACCTGTGGTATAAGGTAATGTTGTAATACGAGTAGTCAGGCCAGTCCAGGTTTTAGTAGTGACAATAATTTCTTGCCCATCACCACCAGGATTATCATTTTCATACTTACCCCATGTGACTGTTTTCAGGTTGTCGGTGGTACTGCTGCTACCGACACATTGATATTGATTGATGTATTTGACTTGATTCAGCACACCAGTATCTACTTTCATAAATATATCAGCAAAAGGTCTGAATCCTTTTGGGATGCTTC